CGCTGAGCTGGAAGCCTTACCAGCTTTCAAGGCAACTGGGCTTATTCATCTCTGCATCCCCGGCACCTGGCAGGGAGCCTGGCACGAAGCACTGAATCTCTCTGAATGATCGGATGAATAAAGAGCAAAAACAGCAGTTCCTGTTTACTGCCCACTGCTCCCCGGCTGCCAAGCCTCACAGCTGCCCTCCAAAGTGGACCCTGGCTCATCGGACAGATAATGAGGCTGAGGTTACTCAGATGCCAGGGGGAGGGCCAGGCCCTGAATGCAGGCCTGGGAGGCCCTGCTACCCCTGCCTCCCCAGTGCCACGCTCGGACCTGGACCCCGTGGGGCAGCTGACCCAGCCTTGGCAGCAAATCTGTGGAGCAGACAGCTGGTGGCTGGACCCCCTCCTCCTCCCAGGAAGGCCCCTCCCCAGACTCCGGGTCATTAAGTTTTGCATCATTAAGCCCCGTCCCCAGGCGCCTGTTCACAGCCAGCCTCGGCCTTACCCCCTGACCCCTCAGGCCTTTGTCCCCGTGCCCTCGGCACAATGGCAGGGGCTCCCAGGGCCCCAAGCAGCTGCTGTGCCGGGATGCTGATTCGCTGTGGGCCTGAGCCCTGCCCACCCAGCTCTGAAGGGCTCAGCCGAGCTCACCCGAGTGGTGCACACACTCAGACTCACCCCCCACAGCCTGGGAGAAACCTGTATGGCCGCCTGGAACAGACAGGAACGTGAGGCCCAGTGACTTGTCCGAGGACATAGAGCCGTGTTCCCCTCAATCACACTCCAATCCCTGCACACCCTCGTTTACCTCCGCCCTCCTGTAAGCGTCCCGGCTCTTCCTGATCATCCCCTTGGTTCTCAAACCCCCTCTGCAGAGACGTCCCCTTCTCCCTGCTGGGCACATCAGCCAGTCTTAGGCTCCAGAGCAAAGGCCCCTGTCAGGAAGCCCTCCGTGACCAGCTGTGGCGCCCGCCCCTCCCCACTCCCTCAGCCTTTCCTCCAGCCTCTCCCCCGCCTCTCCCTCTGCCTCTCCCCCAGCCTCTGCCCCCCAGCCTCCCCGCCTCTCCTCCCTCTCCCCCCGCCTCTCCTCCAGCCTCTCCCCCACCACCACTCCCTCAGCCTCTCCTCCAGCCCTGCTCGGGCTGAGCTGGTCACAGACTCATCTTACTCCCCATGGAGTGTGTCTCCTCCCCGCATGGCCCGAGCCCAGGCTGATGGCAGGAGTTTACAGGATGGAGTGTGGGGGGTGCTGGAACCTCACTGCCAGCCACCCACAGGCCTCACACACTGCCCCTCTCTGGCTGTGGGGTCTTGGGCGGTGACCTAATTTCTCCGAGCCCTGCCTCCTCGCTGGGGCAGCACCGGGCGATGACCTCTGTCCAGGAGTGACCCCCATTATTGTTTCTGTCTATGCCCCACTCCTGGGCGACACAGGAATGTGGGGATCAGACAGCCCCAGCTTCCAGCCACCGACTGGGTGTGTGATCCTGCGCAGGCAGCTCATGTCCCAGCGCCTCTATTTCCCCGTCTCTGAAATGGCACTGCGGCCGCCCCCAGCAGGCACGCAGCACCCGCTGCACACAGCCTTTGTTCGGGCACGCAGACATTTCTAAACTGAGGAACCGATGGTCCAGGTCGAAGAAACTCAGCCACCTTCCTGCCTGCCTCCCCCCCACACCCCTACACCCCAGCCTCCAGAGGCCTCCCCCCCACCCCCAGGGCGGACTAAAATAGTCATTAGGCAGATTTCAAAAGATGTCAGCAGCTTATAATTACAGCCGACATCCTTCTGAGATAAAAGTGATTACCTTGGATGCAAATCACTTAGCAACCAATCAGGGCGGTGGGCGGCGCCCGGAGGTGACCGCGGCCTCCCCCGGCAGCCCCGCACCGAGGCAGGCAGAGCAGAGCAGGGAAGGCGCACAATAGCTCTTGACACGCAAATGGGTTAACACAATAAAGGCGGCTCCGGCCGGGAGCGCTCCCGCCCGCCTGGGAGGCATAAAGCGGCCCTTTTGTGCGCCTCCCCCCTGGCCGCCGAGCCCAGAGGAACCGCCGCCTGATTGAATTACGGTTCATGAATATGAGCTGCTCGCCGGCTTCCTCCGGCCGGTGCGGGAGTGGAAGGTGGAGGGGGCCGGAGGGAGCCCGGGAGCGGCCCCCTGGCCGGGCCCTGGCAGCTCAGACGGGCAGCCACCTCTGCGGGTGCCCGGGCAGGTGGGCAGGCGACCCAACAGCAGCAACTGGAAGGGCGGGTGTAGTCCCAGGGCTGCCTGCGGCCTGGGGTCCTGGGCACCAGGTGGGGCTGGGAATGCCTTTCAAAGGCCCGGGCCTGAGGCTGAGGCGGTGGAGTGCTTACAGTACGCCGCCATCTGTGCTAAACCCTCACTTCCTGGCTCAGAGGGGGCAGGGGCGGTAAGCTGCCATGGGATTAGGTGTGGGATAAGGATTACTGAGGGTGGAGGCGGACAGTTAACCTTGAGAGAAAGGACTGCCTGGACCGGAGGGCTGTGTAGGGTGTCTGCCCCGGGAGCCCTAACGGGATCCTCCGCCAGCTAAGCCTCCGGGACACCCCTCAACCGCAGTCAGCACACCCCGCAATCACAGGCTGGCTCACGGCCACACCCACTGCTCAGAACACTTTCCGCTCTGCCTGGCGACCCGTGAGTCCTTTCTGAGAGTCCTACGGCTCCCGTCCTACAGGCCCTCCGCCCCTCAGGCTGGGCCAGGAAGCCATCCTTGCCTTCTGCTGGATGCCTCCCAGAGGCTCCCCGGGGTGGCTGGGGGCAGCCTCGCCCCCCACCCAGGGAAGCCCACCGGGACGGAAGGCCAGGAGCCGAGGGCAGGCAGGGTTCATGCCAGATCTTCCTCCCCCAGAAAGAGAAGTGTGGGCAGAGGGGGCAGGCTGCCCGCAGGCCAGATCGGAAGTAGCTGCTCTGCTCAGTCTGTCCTGCAGGTAACAGGGAAGCCGGGCTTCCGTGTGGTGAGACATCCGGGTGAGGCCAGCTGCCTCGACAGCCAGGGACCCCGTCCAACAGGTGGGGTGCCTCCCTCCGCCCATGGGAGAGGGGAGAAGACAGCGGAGAGAGGGACCTGAGGTGGTCTGGCTGCGCACCCGTAGCTCCGCCTTCCTCCCTCTGGGCTCTGTGTGACGCCCGGCCCACGGCCCGGGATCCCTGCGGCCGTGACGTGCCGGCACCGGCGACGTGGTGCCGGGACGCTGGCTCTCCCTCCTCGCGTCCCCGTGCTGTTGCCAAGCCCAGGGAAGCGAGCAGAAGGAATCGCCCGGTTCTGACAGGCCCCCTCCGCCTTGGCTGGGGAAGCGTAAACACTCCGTGGAGGACCTCCAGCCGCCTGTGCTGGTGGCACTGGCGCGCTCCGCGTTTGTTTCTAAACCGGGAAGCTCCGAGGGGCAGCGCCCACCGCCCTCTGCCCTCCTCCCCGTCCCCGCCGGCTCTGCGCCTCCGTCCTTGGAGCCGCCTGCGCGGCCGCTGCGGCTGGAAAGCGGCTCTCCGCAGCCCCCAGAGCAGCCGCTGATATTTATTGACCTGCTCATCTGGCCAGCGCGCCGCGGGACAGAAATAAATGCCTGCTGCATAGAGACGGCCCGGCTTCTCGCCAGGACCTCACCTACGCTCCCCTCTGCTCTCTACACCCCCCACCCCGGAGCAACGACAGTTCCCTAACCTTTTCCTAGAAATGCGATCACAGCAGCTGCACCCACATCGACAGGGTGCCACTGCGGACAGGGACTGAGCAGAGGGATCAGAGAGGGGCTGCAGGCTCTGTGCCCGGGGATTCTGTGCCCTCACAGGAACAGGGCCTGTGCTAGGGGAGCCTGACCCCCGGGAGCTGGCCCTGGGCAGGGACACGCTTTACTCTGACCTTGGCACTGACGGGCCTCACGTGCCCTCCGTTCACGTAACGAGCACCACATGGAGCTTGTCAAAACCACCTAAACACCCAAGGAGCGGGCAGGCAGGAGTTCAAGCCTGGCCAAGGCCCTGGTCTCGGCAGTGAGCAGCGGGGACCCCCTGGCCTTGAGGAGCAGCGAGCGGTAACTCCGGCTGGGGATGAGGCACCCGTCTTCCTGACCAGAGCAGCCCTTGGCGGGGGCAGAGGCCCACAGCCCCCGGGGGCCCGGGAGCTGCAGCTGCTGCTGGGCGTGTGGCTCAGGGTGGGGTCGGGGTAGGGGTAGGGGGGGTCTGGAACGTCTTTTTTGAAAGCAGAAAGTTGCTGTCTAGGAGTCCTGAGCCCCCGGGCTCTGCCAGGCTCTGTGCTGGAAGCTGAGCACCTGTCCTTGGAGGAGGAGCATCCTCAGAGACAGCTGGTGCTCCCCCTCGCCCCCCCTCCCCCTCCTCACCAGGGCACGGGATTTAGGTCAGAGGACTGCGGTTAGGGTGGGGAGCCTGCCCTCACCCTCCACTGCCAAAGGCATCCAGCCTGGCCCTGGTCACCACGCCCCGCCCCCTCCGGCCTCGGGTCAGGACCAGTCATGTGGCTACCACAACCCCAGTGACGTCAGGGGCCTGGTAGTGATGTCACACCACGATAAGAGTTTTTGTAGGAATCCAGGCCGTAAGGGGACCCTGTTACAGTCTACACTCAGAGCGATCCTCAAAAACAGCCGCCAGCAAGTAACAGAGCCCCCCCGCCCCCGAAGATCTCAGGGGTTCTGGGAGAACCCCAAGCTGTCCCCTCCTGGCGTCCCTCCTCAAACACTCCAAGGCGCGAGAGTTCCCTGGGATGTTGGGAAGACAGAGCGCTGCCCCTGCTACTCTGTTGGCTTTAGGGCCGGGGTGACCTCTGGCGGAGGGACACCGGCCCAGGGCCCAGCAGAGTCCGCCTAAGGGGCCCCAGCCTCCAGCAAGCAGGCCGGGTCCAGGCAAGTTGTGCGGGAAGGAAAGGGGAGGTCAGGAGCTACCTGCTTCAGGACCCTCAACATCCAGGGCCCCTTTATTTCCAACACGGGCTGCCTCAGTCCAGCCCGCGAGCCCGCCTCGTGGAACTCACCGGGTCAGCAGGGCTCAGCGGCGCCGCTCCGCTCGCGGGGTGACAGCCATGCAGAGGTGACGGGAACGGCGATGCCTCCCTCCGGGTGGAAGGGGCGCTGTCAGCGAGGCCCGCGCCTCCCGAAGCCGGAGGTGCAGGTGTCTCCGCTCAGCGGGGGTCGCGGCCGCCAGGGACCCAGGCCGCGAGGGCGCTCCCGCGGCGCATCCCGGCCGGGCTGGTGCTCACCGCGTCCCGCGGGGGGCGCTGCGCCAACCCCCCGGGCCCCGCTCAGGGCGGCAGCTCAGCCCGCGCCGCTCCGCGGGCGCCCTCAGCCCGCGCCGGGAGCCGGCGGCCGCGGCCCCTCGCCGGCCCCGGCTGCAGCCTGTCTTTGTTGCTTCCTCCGGCTCGGCCGCCCGCCCGCGGCTCGCAGCCCCCAGGTCCGGCCGGGGCTGGGGGAGTCCTCTCCTCCGGGGGTGCACGCACCTGCAGCGGCCCGGGCCCACGCCGGGCATGCACCAGCCTCCGCAGGTTGCAAAGAGCAGCGGCAAGAAGGCGCGGCCCCTCCTCCTCCGGGCCCCGGGGTGGGGGGAGGGGAAGCCGGCAAGCAGCGGCAGCCGAGGCGGCGGCGGCGGCGGCGGCCGGCGGAGGGAGGCTCGGGTGCAGCCTAGGGGGCCTCGGCGCCTGGAAATAACCGGTCCGGGTGGAGCAGGAAGTAGGAGGGACGGCCCGAAGGACGGTGCACCCGGACTGCGAGCTCGCGAGGTGCAGCCGGCGCGGCGCGCACCGGGCTCTCTCTCAAGCGCCCTGGCCGGGGCGGCGCGCGGGGCTCCCGGGACCTCAGCCTCGCGCCGCCTGGCGTCTCGCCCGCTTCAGGTCCGAGGACCGTGCGTTTGGGCCCCGCAGGCGGCGGCCGGCTCTTCGCCTTCCCCGGCCGGTGGGCGCAGCCTCTGCGCGGAGCTGCCGCCCGGCCGCCCTGCCCGCCGCTCCGCTCCGGCCCGACTGACAGGCGCGAGCGCCCGCAGCAGCCGCGGCGGCTCGCTCCCCGCCCGCCCCCCGCGGCCAGGCCCAATCAGGGACCGCCGGGAGGCGGTTACCAGGGTGACGCGGCGCCGCGTCCTGCGGGGGGCGTGGCCGAGGGGCCGCCACGCGCGCTTTTCGCGGCAAAATTCAAAGGCCGGCTGGTGGCTCTCCAACCTCCTCCCCAAAGTTGGGGCGAGGCGGGACCAACCTCGACAGGACTGCAACTCCCAGTATGCAGCGCGCAGGCATCGAGCGGAGGGGCCCCAACTGGGGGTGCAGGGCATGTTGGTACTTGTAGTCCCTTTGTCGGGGACGGGGGAGGAGGTGGGAGGGGGAAGGCGGAAAATCCAGTATCATTATTGAGCACACATTTGGTAGCTATTTGTTAAAAATAATGAAAACAAGAAAAGAAGCTAACACATGCAACAAAGCACTTTACCTAATCTTCACACACAACCCTGTGAGGTAAGTATTGTTATCACCCCCATTTCACCAATAAGAAAACGGATATGGTAGGTGTGATTATTATACTCCCCGCTTATAGGGGAAATTGAGGTGAGAGATGTGACGGGACATTTTGTCTGGAGTGCTTTGCCCCGGTGCACGTTTCGTTAGTGGTGGAGTGTTGGCAGCACATTTGAGAGCTCTCTATATAACCAGGCTCCATAGTGAGCTCTTTCTAAACTCCGTCTCCTGGAATCCTCACCATATCCGGGTAGGCAGGCACTGCCCCACTTAACAGATGGGGACAACGAGGCGCAGTACCACCTGGGTTCAAACTGTGAATCCATCAAACTATACAGATCCTTGCTTTTTACCTTCTAAGCAGCGTCACAGGTTCTCATTCATCCTGAGAGCCCATGAATGGCACAGTTAACAGTCCCATTTAACAGCTGGCAAAAGCGAGTCCTGGGAGGATCAGCTTCCTCAGTTGCCAGGTGTCCCTCACCCAGCAAGCTGGGGAGCCAGCTTTCCAGGAAAGTCCGAAAGGCAGAGCCGGAGCCAGAACGCTCCCACCGCCCTCAGACAAGTCCATGTGACCCCCTGGAGTCCCACAGAACCTGGGTGAGTGCCAGCCCTGCCTCTGCTAGCTGTTGGCCTTTGACATTTATTTTCATGAGTCCGCGCCTCAGTCTCTTGTCGCTATATCCTAATTCCTACGTCACGGGTTGTTATGAGGGCAAAGTGAGTTACTGGGCGGAAAGGACTCGGAATACAGTAGGTGCTCAATAAATGCCAGCTTTGGAGGCCCTGCGGGACGGACTCGGTGGGATGAGCAGGTGATAGTCGGCCCTGGCCTACTTCCCGAGCCCAGCCACCCCTGCCCAGCTCCGGGGAGAGGCGCCTGCTGGGAGCTCAGGCCCGGCCCAAGTAGGCCACCCACCGCCTTATCTGGGACAGGAGCTGGCCCTGCTTCAGGCTGTGGAACCACAGCTCCCAGCGCTCACATGCTGGCCGCCTTCTCCTCTTTAGCTCTCCTCAGAGCCCTCCACCCCCCACCCCCCCTCCCCGGGAAGTGGGGTGGGGTGGCGATTTACCTGGGAACGTGATACGGGGCCAGCTGCTTCCACGCTGGGGCCCTCGGCCTGAACTGGCAGTGACGTTGAGGCCTGTTGCCTGGGCAACGGGCTGGGTGGACTGGGGTGTGGACAGGTGGGGAGAATGCTTGGCGCACCCAAGCCAGGTGCGGGGCGAGGGACCATGGCAACAGGAACCCTGGGAAGGAGGAGGGCAGGGAGGGGAGAAGCAGGCAGCGGGCCACACCACAGCCTTCCCCACGTTTGGGACTTTTTTCCATCGTGGTAACCATGCCCTGACACCAACGACAGGCCAGGCAGTGCTCGTTGCCATTTATATCACACGTTTCTATCTCCTTTCACCCTCACAGCAGCCCTGTGACGTCTGCTCGATTATCACCCACATCTGAGAGCCCAGGAAAGCCATGTGACTAGCACAAGGTCACACAGCGACAGAACGGGATCCCAAACTCCAGCCCCCGACCCTGATTTATTGCACGAAGTGCCAGCCACTAATCGACTGGCTGTGAGCTTAAGGGCAAGTTTCTTCTTCCCTCTGGGCCTCAGTTTCCTGTGCTGGAAAACGGAGGGCGAGGCCCACTACCTACCCTGCCAATCAGACTCTGGAGCAGTTCCCAAAGGCCCCGGTGCTTACAGTTTACAGCAGGGGTTAGAAGATCTCAAAGGCCCCATCTCTGAAGCCTGTGACTCCTGGATGTGCTAATGGTGGGATTTCAGGCAACAGCAAGCTCAAAGGTAGCTGTGTGGGTGGAGGGGTGTCTTATAGGATTCTCTCACACCCCTCCAGGCAGTCAATGCCGCCCTCCTGCCCCCCAATAGATGCTCAGTCTTGGACCTTCAGTATGTCCCACACTCACAGTGCCCGCCACCCATGCCACCGCCAGCATGCTCGCCTCCCTGAGGTCTTGCCCTCATGCACACACCCTCCTCTCCAACTTCCAGCCTCGACCCAGCCCCCGCTTGCTCTTGGTTGTGTCCAGTAGCTCTGCGTTATGGGGCTGGAGACAGTCAAGATGGTCCACAGAAGCACCAGGCAGTCAAGCCCCTGAACGCTGGCTCCGGCCAGGGGTCCAAGAGGCCCGAAGGGACAAGGGGACAGATGGCACCTCTTTCCTCTGACCTTGTATGCCCCCTACATACCAGCCTTGCTGCACACCTGCGCATCCTCCCACGTGCCCCTTGGACTTCAAAGCCCATGCTGTCCCTGTCCACCTAGAATACTCTCCCTCCAGGTAGTTGATTTTTGCTGCGCCTTCAGGTTTCGGCTAGGGTGCCACCTCCTCCGGGAAGTCTCCCCTGACTGCCACCCTTCAGGCCAGAGTGCTTCCCCCGTTAAAGCTGTCCCCAGTCTGTGATGATGGCCCAGCTATTGGCCAGTCTTCCCCACCAAACTCGGGTCTCTGCGAGGGAAGGGGCTGCGCCCAGACTGTTTTATCCCTAGCACAGGCCTGCATACAGTCAGTGCTCAATAGAGCTTTTTTGAATTAATCTCCAAATCAACGAGTGAACGTGCCCATTCATTTAGTTTAGTTTTGTTTTGTTTTCTTGTAGGGAGGAGGAGCAGGGAGAAGAGGAGGGGGAGAAGCAGACGTACTGAAATGAACCCTGACTCCTTAGGTTTCTAGCCATGTGCATCCTCTCTGTGCCTCAGTTTCCCTCCCTCATCTGTGACACAAGGTCAAGTGCCACACAGGCTCTGCTCAAGGAGCCTGGAGCCTGGAACTTTGCTCCCACACATGTAAGATTAGTCTTGCCCTCACTCGCCGCGGCCTGATCACCCCTCCTTTAGTTCTGCTCATTCATTCATTCACTCATTCATTCATTCATCATTTCCTAAGGGCCTGTCCTGTGCCAGTCACTGGGGATTCAACATTGACTCTGTCTTCGTGGGGGCAGAAAAGGCCACGAGCAGTTGTCACCCGGGGTCGTGGGGAAAGGGACGCCCTGACCAGCAGGAGGGCTGGCGTTGGTGAAGGCTGAGCAGCTCCTGGGAAACAGGGGAGAAGGGAGAGGAGCACTCTGGGAAGACAAACTGCCTCTGCACAGGCCCACGTCCGGCGAGGGCGCTGTGACGGTGCCCCGCACGGAGGGGGGTCAGGGGCTGAGCTGGAGCGGAGAGGGAGGCAGACACCAGCCTGTCCTCGGGGCGGAGCGGGCCTGCCCCCGCCTCCCTCCCAGCCCCCATGCCGCCTCACCTGCCCTCGTTGCTGTAATCTAGGCCAGAGCCTGGAGGGAGCGGAGCCCCCATTGGTGCACACCGCGTAGATTTTTCAGAGATAATTTAATCAGAGCTATTAATAAGCAGAAAAGAAAGAGCTCTTTATGCTCCTCCTGGAGAAAAGGGGAAGGAAGCAGCACGTGTAACCTTGTTATTCACCAGCCCTGCCCCCCAGTACCTGCAGCCTCTCTCTGGGGCGGGCCTAGGGGGATGGGGCAAGGAGGCCGAAAGCTGGGGCTGAGGGAGTCTCAGGGACTGGCCCTGCCAGGCTCCCGGCCCCACTCCGCCCTCACACTCTGGCCACGCTGGCCTTTTGGCTGCTGGAAGGTGCCAAGCTGTTTCCTGCCTCGAGGTCTTCACACAGCTGTCCCCACGCCCGGCACCCTTCCTCTGCCTTCGCATGGCTGCTCAGGACAGCACTGCGGGCCTCGGGTCCAATGCCACCTCCTCCGAGAAGCCCTCTCTGACTGCCCCCTGAAGTGACCCTCCCTGGAGCACCCTCTTTTGCTTTTCCCTTCCCAGAATGTGTTGCCCTCGAGCACGGGGGTTGGTGTTCATTTCCGCCTAAACCGTCAGGCCTGGGAGGAAGGGGCTTTGTCCTCGCCTGCACTGCTGTGTCCCGCACGGCTTCGCCGGGACGCAGAGCCGGCTGCGTCAGACGTGTTAACAGCTGGGAAGAGCTCAGGGGGCCTTGCTGTTGGGACAGGAGTCAGGAAGTGGTGGGGGTCCTTCCACCAAGAGAACCGGGGAACCATTACATGCCCCCTGGTTTCACCACTGGGGGCCGGCGGCCCAGGGAGGTGGACACACTTGTCCAAATCCACGTGGCAAGTTGGTGGCAGAGCTGGGACTTGGCCCCAGAGCCCTTTGGGGGTACAGGTTTGCCGAACCTCACCCCAACACCAGCTGTGTTTCGGGGGATCCCGAGGCCGCCCCTGGCCTCCGAGGGACAGACGTCTGTGCTGCTGCCGGCGTGACATCTGCCCCGGGCCGGCTGCCAGGGAACCCACCACACGGGGCTCTTTCTATGCGGGGTCAGGAGGAGGGCCTGCGGAGGTCAGAGGGCGTCCTTCCTGCCGTCAGGGCCGCCTGGCAGGTGACCCCCAGACGAGCCAGCCAACCCCCTGGCTCCAGGTTCCTCTCTGAAAGTCGGGCGCTCCACCGTGTGCCTGCCTGTCTCAGGGTGTGATGAGAAAACGATAGCATTTCCCAGGGCCTGTGGGCTCTGCAGACAGAATGGATGGTTA